TTGATACAAGATAAGAATATAAGTGTCAATGGACCAGATTTGGGTTGAAACTAATCTAAATTAAAATGAATTTGAATAGATTGGATGGTCCAGACATTGAATTGAACCGGTCCAAAATATTCATTGGATTGGATTGGACATGGTCTATTTGTAATAGACTCACATTGGACTGGATTGGATTGGACTAAATCCAGTCCAATTGACACCCCTACCTAGGCCTACCTGGATTGGATTGGATTGGACTAAATATATATATATATATATATATATATATATATATATATATATAAACATTATGTATAAAATATATTTTAAATATATGTGATTGGGCTGGCCTTAGGCTAAGCTTGAAGTATTTGGCCCAAGGCCCAACTCTAAAATTGTGGGCCTAGTGTGGGCCCAAGTTGGGTCAGGGCAATTTTGTCTTAAAATTATTTAATAAGGTCGCCTGGCCATTCAATGGCAGTTTGGTCATGTAAAATACTTAAATGTTTATGTAAACAAATTCTGTGGATATTCACCAATATAAAACTCACAGACAAAGGCTCTCTGGAGGTTCTGAAAAATAATAGTGAGTTTTAAGAGAATTGTGAAAAAGTCATGTTGAATTTTAGATAATAATGCCAATGCAACACAAAGTGAGTTTTTTTTTTTTTTTTTTTTTTTCATTTGCATCACTAGCAATGCAGATTTTTCCTCCCACCTTAGTTCTCTTTCGTATAAAGTGGGAGATATCATCTTGCTTTGTACCTCACTCACAAACAAATAACCCTCCTATACATCCTATTTCTTTCATATAAAGTGGGGGACATCATCTTGCTTTGTACCTCACTCCCAAACAAATAACCCTCTTGTAACCTGATTTCTTTCATATAAAGTGGGAACTACTTCATTTTACATCCTACTTTACTTCTCAGAAACAAACAAGACTACGTCAAACTTGAGGCATAACCAGTATTTACACTAGCCTATTTGCGTTCTCATGATTTAAACTGGCTCAGTTTGGGAAGAGTACAAATGCAAATATGTACGGTGCAAATCCTTATATTTACATTCTACATGTTTGTATTTATATTCTTTCCAAACTGAGCAACCAGTGCAAAAAGAATTTGCACTACAAACCAACCAAGCCTTAAGGCTCTGTTTGGGAAAAGTATACAATGCAAATATAAGGTTTACAATACAAAATACAAGGTTTTGAATTATACATATTTGTATTTGTACTCTTCCTAAACTGAAATAAAAGTTCAGTTTGGAAGGAATACAAATACAAATACGTAGAGTGCAAAACCTTATATTTTGCATTATTTTTCATGTATTTGCACATATTTGTATTTATACTCTTTTCAAATTGAGCAAAAAATACAAATATGTAAGGTTCAAAACCTTATATTTTATATCATTTTGTTTGTATTTATATTGTACAAAATTATATTTATAATCTTTCCGATCTGAGCCTAAAAAAATTTCTACCCATTATTTTAGAGTCCCTTTCATTTTCCTCATGATGTAGGCCTTACCATTCCTATCAGTCATTTAAATATTTAGAAGGGTGGGCATCCATAATATCTTTAAAATAATAATTTTTTATGGATTACCAAATATGTCACATTACATCAATAAAATAATTGAAATTCTCTTCTTTCTAAATTCTATTAAAACTTGGGAGAATGAGGGTTCAGCCCAGGTCAGAATTTGTAGGCTAAAAGTACATTTTGGGTAGGTGCCAACTTGGAATTGACGTCAATTCACGGGTGAGTATGAGTGCACAGAATGTAGGTTTTTGACCTTTTGAATATTTATAATTTTGCAGTGGAAATCAGAAATCTGCATTGGGCCTGTCCATATTTCTCAGTTAAAACTTTGGGACAAATAGACTGCATTCCACGTTACAGTGTACGTCCTTCACATTATTTTCCTCGGTTTGTCTGTGTTGCAATATCATTTGCACTAGTACGAATGCACTACAATACAAATTGACAAGCAAATAAGTAAAATGCAAATTTCGGTCCATTTTTACTTTGGGTTTTGCTTTGTTCTGCTTCAGATTTTATTTTATGAACAATGTTTATTAAAAAAAAACAAAATAAACAAAATCTGAGAGAAAAATAAATCATAATCATTTGCATTCTCATACTTTTACACCAATGCAAATTAAGTAAATCCTTTGTGAACATTGAACATACAAGCGTTCCGGGTGATCGAGTAAGGTCTCCCTGCACCCATCACCCAATTGAAAAGGGACTTTCGTGGAAGGTGGTGGGCAATCTTGTGAGGGGCTAATTTGATCTCCTACAGCGATGGGGATTTCCTTTCACATGGATTGACGGGTGGAGATATTCAAAAGTGGCTTTAGGCTCCATGAGACGCAAGGATTCTCACAAGTCACAACGTTGAGTCTGAGTGCCTTCTGAGTAAACGTGAGGGAAAGTGGCATTTGCAGCGAGTACAAACGTAGGCACATGATGCAATAAACAATGGACAAAGTTGAAGTCATAACTAGATAAGACCAATCTTTTGTGAGTTTCCTGATCTGAAGTCATGTCAATCAGTCAGACCAACCATTCTCTCTCTCTTCAATGGCTTTGCCATGAATACCCATGTGCATGTGAACTGTGTATAAGAATCGATTATAAAATCACAAGTTTCTGTATTTTAATCTTGGCCCCACGCATCTCTTTTTCAAGGACAACACAGACCTATTGGTAGCTTAAGTCTTATCGCTACAGTTTATACTAAATCCAATTCCTAAACCAAACTTCGTCCAATGTGACATAGGTAACAGTTTCAAACTTTCAATTTGACACCAACCAATGACGGTAAAGCCCGCCCCTTTAATCTGAGCTCTTCACTTGAATTAATAAACACTATAACCAATTAAGAAGAGCCAACCCCCCCCTCTTATAATCAATATTTGTTGACTTGGGATTTCGGATTGAACTGCTCAAATAATGCTAAAATAATAATGCCAAATTAGCTTATCTGAACCACACTATCCATAAGAGAATGACGGTTCAGCCCAGGGTCAGAATTGATATTAATTTAGGGGTGAGTGTCAGCTCGGAATTGAGATTAATTCACGGGCAGACATTGATGTATAGAATGGGGGTTTTTGACATTTTGAATGTTTATAGTTCTGCAGTGAAATTCCAAAATCTACATTGGTCCCATCCATACTTTCCCAATCATTTTATGCCACTAATTATCATTTTCACACAGTACATATCTAATAGAAGACAAGTGAAGAAAAAAGTGTTATTAATTTGGTTAAGACCTTTTGGTATATAACTAATAGCATTCCTCTTGTTCAGGATAGTAGAAGATAATAACAGGGCTACTCTCCTCAGCATGGCCAAATATCGACAACCAGGACACATACAACAGCTCCACAGAGAACTCTTGCCATTGAAGAGTATTAGAGTTCGGCCTGCCTGTTAGACTAATAACAGTCAAGGAAAAGAGAGAAAGAAAGAAAGGAGAAGAGTAGAAGAGAAGATAAGGAGGAAAAGGTCTGGTTCTAATGAGAGAAAAGTCAATCCTTCCATTCAGCCAGATCTGTTTTATATTACTAAAATATTGTGAAAAAGTCACATGTGCCACTACTAAAGTTAGGGACATTAGATCTAACATAAACTTACACATCAGCACCTAACCATAAGCACAAAGACAGGAATACCCCTACATACTTGACACTAACAAAGAATTTCAACCTAAGTCGCACACATTGAATTTAATGGGAAGTGAAGGAATTTAGTCCAAATTCCATGATAAGTTTTTATTTTCTTTTCTTCTTTCCTTGGTTACATCCTAGAATGAGTTCGTTGGTTATTTCAGCTTCTCCTCTTTGGTGTGGAAATCCTAGAGGATTTTCTCCTTCACTCTTCTTTGTTTTCTGTACTTGGAGAATTGTTTAGGCTTTGTGCATTTGAAGTTGTAAGGCTAACTATGCTGCAGAGTGTTGGGTAGTCAGCAAAAAACATGTCCCCAGCAAAAAACATGTCCACAAATTAAAAAGAGTATAGCATATGCGAATGCTGAGGTCGATGAATAGAATATGGTCAAAATTTAAGTCATTAGAAGAAACTTAGGAGTATTGCAATAGGTGATAAAATGAAAGAAAGTAGACTAAAATGGTTTCATCACATACATAGAAGACCATAGACAACACTTATAAGAAGTGATGATTTAAATAAAAAAGGACACTGATTGAAGTATTAAGAAAGGATTTAAGTGCATCATAATTTAACAATGGATATGGCATTTAGCGGAACGGAATGGTGAAACAGGAAATAGGATGTAAGATGTAGCTTACCTCATATAGTTGGGAAAAGGTTTGGACGATGATCACTACAAGAAAAACAGTCTAAGGCAACGGTTGCATAACCGCCGGCTTAGGCCTTTAGACCGCCACCTTAGATCATTAGTCCACCCCCTAAGCCGTAGCTGGCTTAGATCAAGATCGCCGGCTTAGAATACAAAGACCACTGCCTTTGATGACCGGTCTGAGGCGGTTCAACAATCTCTAAAGCGGTGATTTCTCAGAACTGCCGACTTAAGTTTATCAAAATGTTGGTCCCATTGTTAGGTGGCGGTCTGAACCACCGGCTTAGATCTTACATGACCGCCACCTTAGGTTAGTCAAAACATTATTTGCGCTTTTAAGTGGTGGTTTGAACTGTTGGCTTCGATCTTACATGACAGCCACCTTAGGTCTGTCAAAACATTACTTGCGCTTTTAAGTGGTGGTCCGAACCGCCGGCTTAGATCTTATATGACCACCGCCTTAGGTCTTGTTTATGGTTAAGCCAGCAGTTGCATGACTGCCAGATTTGCTAGGTCTTTTTTTATTATTTTTATACCAAGTTAATTCCAACATTCTTTTTTGCACCTACACTTTACTTCCAAAATTCATCACTTTAATACAAATGTCATGACAATTGATACATAAAAACAATTTAAATAAAAATGCAATTTAAAACAAAATCTATCAAATTAATTATTAATTATTACAATGTCCAAAAGAAATTGTTTAAATACAATAACCAGTTGACATATAAAAAGTACAAGGACTTTAACAAAAATCAATTTCTCAAATAATGGAACACATCGTCCAATGCAAATCCACTTGACATAATGGTTGAACTTGCAAATCATAACATATAAATTGTTAGAGAATGTAAAGTAAATGGGATATCAATAAAAAATGTACAAAAATAGGATATTGAGGGAGGTAGTCATGATTGATATTTAAGGAAAAAAATAATTCCTATAATGCATATCTAAATTTTCAACCAAAAAATAACAAGAATGTACATGGAAATTTTGTAGGTAAAATTAAAACCTAAACCCATATTAACAAACCCAATATGGTAATTGTGCTAGGTTAGGATTGAAAACCATAGGTTAAAGTTTAGTTAGGGTTAGGATTGAGGATTCAACACATTGGATTGGGGTAGTCCTTTTTTATTTTGATCAATTTGGATTGGGGTAGTCCTTGAAGATAAGCATCTAGTATGCTGAAAGTAAGCATTGCAAATAAACTAGGAATCGGTCCAACATCACCACATCATGTTGAATTATGATGGCTGTTGTTTCAATAATCCAAAGTAATGGGATTGGACGAGTCCCTAGAAATCACTAAAGCATATATCAGCAGTGTATTAAAGTCCTATAAGGGATAATGACTTCTCTCAAGCATAGTTACCAGTTCTTCATGAAAGTTTAAGATGGAGATGATTCATTAAAGAAAAAGATGTGCATGTTCATTAGGCAACTCAAACCTTGAGGTGGAGGGAAACTCACATGACAACCTTGCCATCAAATAAGCAGAACCATTGACTAGTCCACATGCTTCATTTACTTGGGTATTAAGGTCTACAAAGTCCTTATTGCCTGTTGAATGAGGGTAAAACATACATGACCTATATTGGGGATCATGTTTATTGGGTTATGAAGTATTTTATGGGAATGGGTTCAAATGATAATGGGATGAGCAACAAAGAGGTTAGCTCTTATTTTGTGTATTATTCAAGGGATAGATGATCACATATATTTATTTTTGTACTCCAATTTTCATTGTTTCCTTAATAAAATTCAGAACTAGTTAACTCGCTCAATTAACAAGAACCAGAAAGAGGAAATCAGAACCGGTTAATTCATCCAAGATAACATAATCATTTTCAAGAGTTCATAAACTAGTAACCTTATTCCAATACACCTAGGAGAATCAGGTAAATGCATTCTACCTCTAATATGTCCTTGAAATAGTTAGACGTATAATAACAAAAACAACCTAAGAAGTTTTTTCTTCTTTTTTTTTTTGAAAAAGGTAACATATAAATTATATTCAAGAAAATGATATAAAAAAATAAATATACTGATCCAAAAGCCAACTATAGGATCATTTAGCATCCCAAATAGGCTCAAACCTAAGACCAAAAATAAAGAAAACAAAAAAGCCAAATAGAAGAAATCACTATGGAATCATCTCACAAAACATTCAAGGACCCACTGAACAAAGGGCCCAGAAGCAAACCAAAACAACACAGAGCCCTGGCCCACTGCAACAAAACATTCAAGTATCACTGACCACTCCAACTTAGATTCTTCAAATTCAATATTTTATTGTCAAATTATGTATTCTAGTACTCTAAAGCGACACTTTGTAGCATCAGGCTACAAAAATGGTGACATAACAAGGCACCTGTATAATATATTACAAAGAAAATACTAATAAGCAACTTTACGGAACTATTGTATTTCTACCCCTAAAGATAAAGGGGGAACCCATGAAAATACATATCCAACTTTGTCCCATAGTGTGTCTTTTCATGGCTCCCACCAGGTCTGTAGAATGAATCCAAGAGTACCATAAAGTTTTCCTCTATTAAAAAGACAAGTCCAAGCATTGCACAGTCATATTCCAAAGGCTTTTTCATACAAAAAGTTCACATAGATGATGCACACAATAGTTGACAGTTTCAATGTTGTTAAGGGGTATGTCATGCCTATCAAGTATAAATTTGGGCTTCATAGTTTTGTTAAGACCATCTGAGATGGCAGTTGGCTCATGTTCACAACCCCATTTAAGGAAATTAAACATATAAACATGATGGTGTGATGAAAGCATGTTAATATACAATTAGGAAAGAAGTGATCAAAGCATTTTAAAGTTTCTACTGTTTTAACTCAGTTTTGGGTTTAGGAAACATTCTAAGATACTTATGAATATTAACATAAACTATTGCAAACAACTAACCTTTGAATCAAGTGCTAGACACTACAAATATACTCAACTGACACATTATCTTGTACATGACAGTAAAATTGAACTCTCTAATTGTAGTTAAAAGATAAAACTTGCCTGGTCAAAGCTTGCTTTACATGCCATGTTCTTACTTAAGCAAAGCAAGATTTTCTAACATTTCCCATCTCTTGAACCACCGAATTCTGATCAAATAAAAATTTCTTTACGATTATAGCAACAAACTATGATCTTAATTATTCTTATTCATTTATGGAAATTCACCAGTTGTGGATATATCAATAGTTAAAAATTTATTTTATTAGCATGATAAAAATTTGAATAGTAATTTTTCATACTATGACTGAAGCCAATAGGGAGTTGTTCATACCTAAGGTCCTAAATAACCCAGAAAAGACATACTAGAGCTAAAGAAATTCATGCCTAAGAAGGCTAGGTTTATTCATGTGAAACTAAGAGTGGTTAACTGAAAGTAGTACAAGATCAACCAGATATGATCAAACAGAAAACTGAAGTGGTCACAAATCTATCCATGTTTAAATTCACCCAAAAGTAATAGACTGAAGATTATACCAGGTTAAGGAAAAAATACAACCTAGGACTGAGATTAGCTTATTCAGGCCTATGTAAACCCAAAACAGGACAGACCAAGGCTGTCACCACTTTATTCACATCAAGCAGAACTCAAAGGGAGGTGGGCTGAGACTACCATTGGCCTAACCAGATCTGAGCATTTTCATCTTAAATAGGCGTGCATCTTCTAGATACAACTGAGATCTCATTGGAAGAGTTAGTAAAGCAATAACTGTAATTTATTTGAATGCACTGTTTAACTTGATTTGGGAGAGACTGCAACAACTAAAGACTAAAGGGCCATGAGTTCAAAATTCATTTGCAAACCTTGGCTCTAGATCTGAAATGGGGATAGGAACAACATGATTTGTCATCATCCTAGAACCAAAGCTCACATCTGATTTGGGAAGCCAATAGATTTTCATTTTACAAAGCTTCTCTCAAAACACTTGTCAATTCTCGCTTTAAATCATAACCAAGTGCCAAAAATGGATGTGGAAAAAAATTGTGAATCCTTAATTCATATTCCAGACAAACTCACAAGCCTAGTATCAATCTATACCAAATATTGAGAGCTGATTGGCTTGTTTGGGTGAAGAAGCTAAGAAAGGTGCTAACCAACTGGAACTACCCTAATCATAGAATAGGCTGCCCTGTTTGTATGTAGTGGGGAGGCCTACTTGTTTCTAAAGCTGACATCATAGGGGAAAAGTCCTACCCTGCATTGCAAACACAAAGTTAAGGAATTTACCACTATCATTATTTTTGAAATCACTACTCAAGATTAAAAATCCAAACACTAATCTAAGGTTGTAATTGCAGGAAATCCTCCCACCCACTTTTGGAATCAAAATATAAGTCATAGTTTGATACCTAAACCCCAACTATTGTATGGATCTTAAGATGCATAAAATGGAGTTAGACCAAGGGTTGAGGTTCAGTGCGAGTATAGAAGCTGGGGGTCAACAATAATTTATTCCAATCAAAAACTCAAAAAAACTTTTACCTGAATAGATAATTGAACAAAAAAGGGAAAAAAAGTAAAACCAACCTAACTCCCCCAGCACAATAACCAATGTTCAACATAACAAGCAATCAGAATTCAACAACATCCAGTTCCAGTAAGTCCATGGAATCCCTAGCATGCAAGTCATATTGTCGAAAATGATGAGTGGAACCGAGTATTAAACAAGAGTTAATCCAATGCAAACCCAAATTCCAAAGTAGGAGATACAAAAATAATCCATTCATATTGTTAACTTAAGGCTTACACTGATCAAAATAGACATGAAAGATTAAGCCAACAACTGCATACTAAAATGGATTAAAATAGGATGTTAACAAAATTGATTCTTAACCAAGATTTTTCTCACAGAAGCCGCAATGTTCAAGCTATATTGTCAAGCCAACAAAGAGGGTCATACATTTAAATTTGAATTAGGAGCTTACCATTTTACAGCCAAACCAGCTACGTTGCAGCAACTTGGAAAACCCAAAGGTATGTTACTGTGATGTAATCAGAGAAATAACTCTCTTGTCCAAGGGGTAAATAGGTTGAAAATCAAGAGTATCTCAACTGGATTTCACACACATCCTTTTTCTCAAATGACTCTGGTCATTCAATGAGAATGATTCAGCTTTGAAATGTGGATTTGAAACCACAGGTACCTATGTCCGATTTATGCCCTAAAATGGGAGAAAACACAAATGAATCAACCACGACGAAGAAGAAGAAGAAGAAGATTTTAAGAGGGAAATAGATCAATCTTACCCTTTAACCACTGCAACTATTGAGAAGAAGATTTTCAGAGATAGGGAGAGAGAGATAGTGAGAGTTTGAGAATTTGATCTTTCCCTTCTTCGTCAAAACTATGCAACACGGATTTTTTTGAACACGGGAAGTAAGAAAATGCGGGATCCACAGAGCTTTTGGATTTTAGATCTCGAGAGTTATTTAGACTGGGCTCAAATCCGGTTCCATCGTAAAATCCGACGTGCCAGCTAAAGACCGCCACACAAGTTTTATTTTAACTTTCTAGGCAGCGGATTGCTTAAGAACGCCACATTAACTCTCTCTATAGCAGCGATCTTCAGGACCGCCAGCTAAGCCGTATCATTTTTCTTGTAGAGGATGGTGGTATTTGAGGCGAGATCGGATTTAATTAGTGCAAGACCCGTTTGAACAACCTTTACAGCATTTGCATTGCATTGGAAATATCTCTGTACTTCTGTGTTTTATTTAATGAGGAGATATTCTCAATGCAAGGCTATAATAATGGCTGTTCAAACGGATTTTGTACTGACTGAATCTGGTTTGGTTTCGAGTATATTTTATATTATGGGAAATAAATATTTGTTTTCCATAGATAAGTAAAAAATAAATCAATGATGGCAGCCATTATAGTTTTATATTTATATCAATAAATATAAAATCAAGTGTTTTTGATTATCATGAGCTCAACTTTATATTATGGGAAAGCAAAATCTTACAGAGAATTTATGAGATACTTAAAAATGTTAGTGGAACCAATTCAGGAAAGAGGAAAGAGGAAAGATCACCTGTGAGTTCTAGGGTTGATCCAAGTTGTAATATATATAGAGGATTTTTGATAGTTACAAGTAATTTGTTACGATAACTATTATCTACAGTTGTTTAACAAGAGATGTACAACAAAGAACGTGTTTCGCTAGGACTTAATGACATCATTTGAGGAATGTGACATGCCACTATTATCACTAACAGGCCCCCGCAAGCTGGACGGGGGAGAGGCAATGTGCAATTTGGCCAAGAGATCACATAGATGGGTAAAGGAAAGTCCTTGGAGATAAATCTAATATTCAAGAGTTTGCGAGTAACTAGCTCCTGGAGAAAGTAATAATCCACTTCAATGTGCTTTGTGCGAATCTGAAAAACCGGGTTGAAAGTAAGAGCTATGGCAGAAACATTGTCACATCAGATGATAGGAGCCGAAAGAATCGGCACTTTGAGCTATTTGAATAGGGAACAAAGCCAGATGATCTCAGCAGAAGTATGATCCAAGCAACCGTACTCCGCTTTAGTTGAGGGCCGAGCAACGATGGGATGCTTTTTATCACTCCAAACAATGGGATTGTGACCCAGAAAAATGTAATAGCCGTTAGTAGAACGTCTGTCCACTGGGAAGCCAGTCCAATCGGCATCACAATAAGCAGTAAGTTGAAAGGGGTCTGGGCGCAAATGAAGACCGGAGGATGCACTTGACAAATTAAGATGAGCTTCTGTGGGAGCCTGTAAATGTTGACATGCTTGATTAACACAGAAGGCAATGTTTGGCCTTGTCAGCATGATGTATTGGAGGGCCCCTACGATACTGAAGTAGAGAGAAGGATCTTGTAGTGTTGGAGAAGAGCTGAAGTCAAGTTTAACAAGAGATACTAGAGTGGAAATTGGTTTGCAGCCTACCATGTCAGATTTATTCAACAAATCCAAGATATATTTCGATTTTGATAGGAACGAACCAATAGCATTTCGATGGATGTGAATGCCCAAGAACTAGGATAATGGGCCAAGATCCTTAATGTTGAATGTCTTACCAAGATCAGCAATGAAGGAAGAGTTGGTGCCGGTAATTATAATATCATCAACGTACAGAAATAGCAAGATAACACAACCACGATGATGATAAATAAATAGAGAGGGATCTGATGTGGAAACAGAGAAACCCAAATCAACTAATGTAGAGGCAAATTTGTCATACCACGCACGCAGAACGAGCTTGTTGTAAACCATATATGGACTTAACCATTTTGCACACGTGGTAAGGGCGAGAATGATCAATATAACCCGGAGGTTGAGACATAAACACATCCTCACAGAGTTAACCATGGAGAAAAGCGCGAGAATGATCAATATAACCCGGAGGTTGAGACATAAACACATCCTCACAGAGTTAACCATGGAGAAAAGCACTCCACATCCAACGGATGAAGTGCTCAGTTGTTGGTGAGAGCTAGAGATAAAATAACTTTGATGGTAGTATGCTTGACAGCTGGGTTGAACATCTCAATAAAGTCAATGCTGGGTTGCCTTTGGCAATGACACGTACTTTATAGCGATTAATGGAGCCATCAGGGTTAAACCCATTTATAATCAACCACATTCATGTATTCAGGGTTAAAATAACTAAGACTCATGTGCCTTGATGTTGCAATGACATAAATTCCTTATCCATGGCATGACGCCATTCAATAGATTTGGAGGCTTGAGCAAAACAAGTTGGTTCACATGGATAGGTAGCAGTGAGGGCTATAGGGATGGGATACCTAGTGGAATAGGCTTTTGGTTTGAAAATCCTAGATTGGGAACGTGTTTTCATGGGGTGAGTATGAGAAGTGGGAGGTAGGGATGGGGGGGGTAAGTGGTTCAGTGGAATAGTCAAGGGCTGACTATGAGATGGATAAGAAGGTGGTGATGGAGGTGTTGTAGCCTGCGACACGATTGAAACTGGCCTAGAAGTTGGCGTGAATGTGTAAATGGTATCAATGGGTCCTTGAAAAGATGGAAATCAAGCAGAGAGAGGGGCATTTACAAACTCCACAAAGGACGGGGACCTAGAGGACCAAGAAGAGGAGTGGGAGGAGAAAGGAAATTGTTGTTTGTCAAAGACAACATGACGATTCACATAAACCCGCCCTATAGAGAGAGGTCCATACGCCGATATGCCCTGTGATGTTGGTTGTAACCCAAAAAAGCAGCACTTTGAGGAGCGAAATTGGAGCTTGTTACAATTATATGGACGGAGCCAAGGATAACATAAGCACCCAAATGACCATAAGTATCCATAGTCGAGGGAGATGCCAAACAATCGTTCAAAGGAAGAGAGAGTATGTGCTTTAAGGAGTGGCATGCGATTGATTAAATAGATGGTGGTATGAAAAGCTTCCACCCAAAATTGAAGTGGCATTGAGGCATGAGCGAGGAGGGTGAGACTGGTTTCCACCAGGTGGCGATGTTTACCTTCTATAACCCCATTTTGTTCAAGTGTGTGTGGACAAAAAAATTGGTGGAAGATGCCATTAGTTGCAAGAAATGTTTTAAAAGGTATACTACTGAATTCACTACTGCCATCACTTGGAAATATTTTAATTTTGGTGTCAAATAAGTTTTCAATAGTGGACTTGAATGAATGAAAAACTTGATAGAAATCAGACTTCAATTTAAGTGGAAATAACCATGAATATTTAGTAAAGTCATCGACAAATAGCACATAATAGCGAAATTGAAAGATTGATAATACCGAGGATGGTCCCCAAATGTCACAATGAATAATTTCCAATGGTTTACTTGACTTAGAGCATGAAGAAATGAAAGGAAGTTCACTACTTTTGCCAAGTTGACAAGCAGAACAGGCATTAGAAACTGGTTTATGCATGAGCGAAATGGAAGTGAAAATTGAACATTGAATGTTGCGAGACGGGTGATGACCCAAACGGTGGTGCCAAATATTTCCAGAAAGCTGAACGAACATTAAAGGAATTATTGGTGCAAGAAGTTGATGAAGGTTTGAAGGGATAGAGGCCATTTCCAATCACTTTGTGGTGTAGAGTCCCCTCCGTTGCCTTGTCCTTCACATCAAAACCAGAATCATCAAATGTGAAGTAGCAGTTATTATCCTTACAAAATTGGGAAACTGATAAAAGATTAGTAGAAGCTTTAGGACAATGTAATATGTTGTTTAAATGAAATGTGGAGATGGAGGATTGAAGGATGGAAGAACCCACATTCTTTATGCTCAAACCATGACCATTTCCCACTTCAATGGTGTCATTTCCTGAATAATAGGAGTAGTGAGAAATATTAACCAAATCAGATGTAATGTGGTGAGATGCTCTAGTATCGGAGTACCAGGTGGAGTCATCTAGGACATCACTACGTGCAGTGCTGCCATTGCCATTAGTTTCTCTGGTGGGTGTCTCCCTTGATATGATGAGTTCATACGTTGAAAGCAGTCTATGGCTGTGTGGCCCTTCTTGCTGCAGATCTGACATTGAGGGCGAGGACCAGAATTTGGTGTACGTGCACCAGGAACTTGTGTGTTCTTATTGGTATCTGAAGTTGGGTTGCTAGTATTATTCGATTGAGATGATTGGCCATAGTGTGGAGGTCGTTTGAAGAAGCCTTCATTGCCTTGCTGATGAGGTCCATGACTTGATGTGGGCGACTTGATTTATTTGCTACCAAGGCAGATGAGGGTTCAGTTGGAATGTCATCAGCCAATGGCATTTACTCGCATATAAGAAAATTATGTAATTCTTAAGTAATGTTTGGTTTGAAGGAAAAAATAGGGAAAGGAAGGGAAATATAAGGAAACTTATATAAGGATTATAAAGGAAGGGAAATGGAAGACCATCGAGGATGTAAATTTGTAGCTCGTCATCTGATACTAGAGAGCCATAGGCAGCAAGTTGGTTATGTGGTGTAGTTGCTTTCGAAGTAATGTAATGTGGATAGGGGTTGAGGACGCATAGGGGCGGGTCTGGATCCATCAATGAATATTGCCATTAGGTGATGACCTCGCAAAATTGGCTCAAACAGTGATTATACATCAGAGAACGTGTTTCACTAGGACTTAATGACATCAGTTGAGGAAAGTGACGTGTCACTATTATCACTAACAATAATTCCAATCTGATATTTGAGAATTGAGAGCTTATATTGCTCTTTTTTGCTCCACTTTTGCAGAGGCAAGGTACAATTTTGTATGGTTAATTAAAATGGTTAGACTTTATATGTTATGATACTACAAAGACATTCAAAGGGACAATAAAATGATGCCCACAAGAATTTGGGCCATCTTTGTGGACAAAAGAAACACAAGTTTTCTCCAAATGGACGAGATAATCCACTTGCGGTCTGAATTAAGTTATCTGGCAACTTCAACACAGCATGGGCTTTACCTTCGATAATACACGACAATAGTGCACTATTATTGATCAGATAAGACAGATGACTTATACACATACTCGCCAAATTTATTGTCATGTCTCCTTTACTATCAGTTAGTAATCACAACCACTTCATTGCCAAAATCAGTTGATCAATTCAAACCTACTTTTAATTTCCGTCGGCAGCAGCATTGAACAGAAAACATGTGATTCAGAAAATGAAAAGGTGACTGACGCCTCAAGTTATCATAGCTTAAATATGGAATATACCTCTAAAAAATATCATGATACGATTAAGGCTGCGTTTGGCATCACTTATCTCCTTTTTATATTTTATGAATGCTGAGTTTTTAATTGCAAAAATAGAGATAAGTCTTTAAAATAAGGAATGCCAAGTGCAGTCTAAATATTCCCATTCTAATCATATCGTGATACCTGGCGGTCTTTGAGGGCAACCTAAATATGACTATGACCATAACAACCCCGGTCGAGCACTCGAGCATATTAAATGGCAGAATCACGCTTGGCCACATGGTCCCCAGCCTTAATGAAGTGGGCAGTCAATGTGGGCCGAGTTGAGGAGGCATTACAAACCTCAGGGAGCAACAGGTATTCTCTCCCTCTTGCCTAAAGAGTCCTCACCCCTGGGGGAGGCTGGGAGATTGGGAACATACCTTGGGGCCTCTAATGTCCTTTTGTATAATTATAAATTTCCAACTTTACCCCTATTGTAAAATCTGACAATATATTGGCCTATCACTTTTAATACAGAATCTCTAGCCCCAATTAACATTCACATTATTTGAAATTATGTGGGTGTTTGTTTGAAAAAATGATTTATCAAAAATTACTGATTTTGAGGCATTTGGAGAATCATTGATTTCTCTAAGTAAACTTGAATCTGAGCATTATTTCAATGAAAATATGCCTTTTGGGTCCGGGTTGGCCTGAATTCTCTACTTCCCCCTGTCAAATATTCTGTTTTTTTTTTTTTTTCAATTCAAGGGTTGAAGTAAATTCAATTTTAATGTTTTCAGAATAAAGTTATGCTTTAGAAAAATTTTACCTTTAAACTAAAAATGTTGGCACGCATATAAACATTTAATATATAGATATTTCGTTCATGGGGGCTATGCAATTGGGGTAGTCGGTCCCCAATGAGAATAGCCCTCCAACCCTGGTGAAGGTATGAATTCAATCAAATATCTGCAATAACCAGTCAGAAATCTTACTAAATACTAGCAAGCCAGTTGGCACCTCCATTAATACATAGAGACACACAGCTGTATAGTGTATATGCTTTTGCATATATATACATGCATACATACATATATATATATATACTTATATACATAAAAATATATTTATTTAAATAGGGTGAGGGGGAANGGGGGGGGTATTTAAACACAATACACTATCAACTCTCAAGCTAGGAGGAAACGTACCAACTCAGCCACCATTTGGTCTGAAATGAATTGGGTTTGAACCTCAACCCTACTCAAAATTATAAAAATATGAAAATTAAGAGATCACGTCTAAGCCCCACAAATGATGCCCCACAAACGCCTCACATTTACATCTCAGCATACATTGGGAACATCTCTTAAAATTGTCAATGGGAGATATTCCCAATACACGATTGGGATATATGTGTGGCATTTGTCTGTCGCCCTCTGTAGGGCGCAGATGTGAATTCGAAAATCAGCACTGAGATATTTCTCTACTGATTTTTAAAAATTCGTCTTTATCAAATGGAATTTTCACACAAGTTGGGGGAATCAGCTGATTCGATAAATTCATAAGGAATCGAAAAATAATTTCCTCCAGCTAAACATCCCCTTATTATAGGAATCTGATCCGCTTATAGCTGTCAACTTTCTAGGCTGAAAAGAGATAAACCCCCCTTCGTCTAGTTTATATTTGGTGGACAATATTAGGCCCCATGTGGATAATATATTTAGTGTTTAGTTTATCTGTGGCCCAATTTGTCAAAAGTTCTCAAATCGATGTTCTGATCTCGGACAATGTATTTTGATTATGTTCTCCTCTTTAATGAATTTGTTCCTTTGCCTATCAAAAAATTAAAATAAAAGAAAAAACTACAACCCCTCTATATTTGCAAACTTAGAGAAAAGTTCTTTGACCTCCCTTGTTTCTCAAAAATAATTTTAACATCATCATCTTATGGACAATAATTGGGCAATACATCAAAAGCTTTCTATTTGTTGTTTCTTGGCAGGCAAGAGGCTCTTAACAAAGGGAAATAAATGGTAAATAGAAAAGTATATGTTGAAGGAAATAAAAATTATGTAACATTATTTTCCAACGTCAACAGCTTTCCACATTTGTTTCTTTGTTACCTAATTCCACTCTCTATGTACATTTTCCAACTCAGAAAATCATTGTAGACAACTAGACATTAGACAGGCTTTTCTTCCCCTTATTTAAATCTATTTTATACTCTGGAATAAGGAGGATTCTCTTTTCTCCTAAGCAACACCAGCTCCTCAATTTTCATCGGTCACTGCTGGATGGGGCCTGGTACACCAAAACCAAGTCCCATACTGAGATGTCTCCCATCGGCCATCCCCAAAGCCACGAATCAGGAATAAGGCATCGCAAATCAACCCTCACAAAAATAATAAAATTATATGAACATCAACAAACCTAAGCTATCAAGTTTGAAACTTGTGCACAAAGTTTTCTTCGGGTGGATCCACCAAAAGCTCATCATGTCAATGCCCTCAGAGAAGTAATATTGCAGATGGGTTCAGTGCCCTGCCCATGTCATAAATATGCAGGCCCAGTATTGCCACCTAGCAAAATTAGCAGCTCTTCACAGAGCATATATAAGCCATGCCATCCAATATACACCAAAACCAAAACCCATACTGAGATGTCACCCAATAACTTCTCAAAGCCAAGAATCAGGAATAATGAATCAAGAATCAACCCTCAACAAAACAAATATTATATGCACATCAACAGACCTAAATAATCACGCTTTTAAACTTGTGCACAGTGTTTTCTTTAGGTAAGCCCACCATAAGCCCATTATGCCAATGCACTCTGAACAGAAATATTGCAGACGGTTGGTTGCAGAATGCAGATGGGTTCCAGTGCCCTGCTAATGTCATCCATATACAAGCCCTGTATTGCCACCTGGTAAAATTAGTAGTTCTATGCACCAAAACTAAGCCCCAATACTGAGATGTGACCAATAACTTACCCAAAGCCAAAGCCAAGAATCAGGAGTCAGGAATCAAGAATCAATCCTCAACAATAATAATGCATATCAATAAACCTAAATAATCTAATTTTTGTGCAAAGTTTTCTTTAGATTGGCCGGCATAAGCCCCATCAGGCCAGTGCACTCTGGATGGCAATATTGCAGATGATTGCAGAATGCAGATGGGTTCAGCGCCCTGCCCGTGTCATCCAAAGACAAGCCCTGTATTGCCTGCCACCTGGCAAGATTAGCAGCTCCTCACAAAACATAAAGCATAACAAAAGCAGAAACCAGAGAAACAAAATTATATATACCCATAGCACATATGATACAGAAGAGAAAGCTCGGCCCGAGCCGAATGACCAATATAAACTAACAAAAGGAAAAAAGAAGAAAACAAAAATGGCTGAAAGTAAATTGGAAGAAGAAAAACAGTGCTTTGTTTTTTCTCCCCCTTTCTGTGTTTCTTTCTCTATTCGGTATCTGAAGGAAGATATGATAATCTAGGAGAGTCATCAAGCACAAGATTCTGCAACACGGGCTTCAGTTCTTTGTTACAGAATTCCTCGTACTCTCCTCTGTCTCCTCCCTTCTTCTTCACCTCGACAACCCTCAACGAGGGCGTCAACTCGAATATCTCCGCTGCTATTGTCAATGGCCCCTTCACTCCTTCTTTCGACCCTTCTAGACTTACTCTGCAATCCTTCTTTCTCACTGTGAAGCTAACCACCTTGGCAATCTCCTCCAATTTCGATATTATACTCGACACCGGCGCGCCGGATATAAACCTCGTTTCCTCCCCTATCTCTTCGAACAGACCGGAGAGGTCGAACCCCTGCGAAAACGATATGATGTCGAATGCGTTTAAGCTCGCCGGTCTAGGCAATCCGGGTTTTGGCTGCCTCTGCACCTCTGGCTCTGACTCGGTTTCCGATACCGATGCCTCGGATTCGACATCGTCGTCATCCTCGACGTTGTAGAACTGGTCGTTCTCGATGTAGAATCTAATGTGCTTGAATCCCTTCTTGAACCAGTGATTCTCCATGATTTCCGGAATTGGCATTCTGGTCAGAGGGTTTGTGTCGAGAAGACGGGAGAGGAACTGAATAAGCTCCGGGGTGAACCAGCGAGGGCATCGGAACTCGCCCTTGTAAATCTTCTTGTACATGGCCATGATGTTCTGATCATGGAAGGGAAGATAACCAGCCATCAAAACAAACAAAATCACTCCGCAAGACCAGATATCCACCTTGGCCGCATCGTAGCCCTTCCGAGCCAGAACTTCTGGGGCAACGTAGGCCGGTGTTCCACAGAAGGTGTGGAACAACCCATCCTGTCTGATCTGATCGGAAACAGCGCTGAGGCCGAAATCGGAGACCTTGAGGTTACCGCTTTCGTCTAACAACAGATTTTCCGGCTTGAGGTCCCGGTGGAAAACCCCCCTCGCGTGACAGAACCCGACGGCGGAGACCAACTGCTGGAAATACTTCCTCGCCACTTCTTCCTTCAATCTCCCCTTGGCAACTTTGTTGAACAGCTCCCCTCCTTTGACGTACTCCATCACGAAATAGATCTTCGCCTTGGTCGCCATGACCTCGAACAGCTGCACGATGTTGGGGTGCCTGACGCGGCGCAGGATCGAGATCTCCCGCTTGATGTGAGCAATCAACCCTCCCTTGAGGATCTTCTCCTTGTCGAGAACCTTGATCGCCACGCTCTCCCCTGTCTTGACGTTCCTAGCGTGGTAGACCTTCGCGAAGGTCCCATGGCCGAGAAGCTTGCCGACTTCGTACCTGCCGAGTAGCAGAGTTTGCCCCTCCTTCTTCTTCTTCCAATCCGCCATGCTCTAACAATTTCTCAATCGCTAGATGCTCTGCAATTCCCAGTCGGCCATTCAAGCTCTCGGCACCTGAGTACTTCTTATTCTCTCCTCTCTTTCTTCGCTTTCTCGTGTTCTTCGTTATTGGTTCGTTGGGCTCTCTTATGCTGCCAGATCGGCAGAGCCGAAGCTAAGCAACGGAGAGATAACGGCGAAACAGTGACAGACTAACAGCGACGGAAATATTAACCGACCTCGGTGGACAGTTCCACACTTCACACTTCCACATATAAACAAGTAACAACGCGGAGATTGGTTATTTGGTTGTCGTACTCGTAACGGCTCTCTGGGGTTTTTGAAAGTTGAAATTCAGGGAAGACTTGACGGTAGGACAGCGATTTCAAACCAAACAGTCCACCACTGGATTCTTCCCACGTGGCACAACATCCTTTTCTTATTTGTATCTGTATGCGCATTGCGTGTTCCACAAGAAGGGCCCCACCGCCCCAGGCGCTTACCCGCAGTATAGTAGACTATCGACTATATAGAATGGCGGTTCTATGTGCTTAGTGTTTACGTGTCTTCGGGGTGTATTTGAATCATATAGCCTCAACCATCAGATGCTTGGTTAACGGTTGAGATGAGAGTTCCATCGTGGTTACGTGTGTAATAGAGATTCAGTAACGGCTGAATCTAAGGTGCAAATCCAACAGTGTGATTATGTAAGGTCAAGGGAGAACTTGGGTCCCATACCGACGATGTGAATCTGCGACCGTCCGTTCGTGTAGTTTGCATCGGAGATTTTTCGATGGACGGCTGTGATAAGAAGATCATAAACCACTCCTCTGGAGTTCTTAAGTTGGTTGTCGGCAGAGGGCAGATAGCTACATAAGACGTAAGTACTGAAGCATTTGACGAGGTTATTCCAAATGAAGCGTAGAGATGGCTTCCGATCCAATCCAACGGCGAATATCAGGGCCTACCATGACCCTGATTTTTCAAGCGTGTTTCTTACTTCCTTGTTTGTCGATTAGGCTGTTCACGCCTTCATGGTCACGGGCCCCTAAGGAAGGGGGCGGATTGCACAAACCAAAAGGCATTCTCCTAAATCGGCTGCCGGCAGCTTTGGTTTCCATCAGAGAGACTGCATCTCCGATCATTACCTTTGTCCGATAAAGGGGCTGATCCTGCCACTATGATCATCCACTCAGATGAATTCTTGGACTGTCCCAACATACCCAGGTTTTGACCCCCTCTAAGGATCTCACTGATTGGCATATCAAAAATAGCCCAATTTGATAGCTAGTGCAGTATCATAATTGAGTCTAGGGGTCAGGTGTAACATTCTAGTTTTGCCTATCAATCTCCAAGGTCTAGGGCAATACTGGAAATCTGGTCTAGTTCAGGGTTTCAAGTAAACCCACACTGCATGTACCTCAGGTCTCACCCTGACAGCTGAGACAAGCCACCCCAACCAACTTGGCGGCACATCAGTGTCAACCTTGGTAGGATAAATCTCCCTATATCAATCCAACGGCTGTAAACATTATAAACTAACACGAGTCTCATATGTGTCCAGTTTAAGGGTATTACAAAGAAACACACCACAATAACATGAATCAAATATGTACTTTATTCATTTACAWTAAATGTCATAATGTACATCATTCTGATTGGAGCTAAGGGCATACACTGTCTAACAGGTCCCACTTGCACTTAGGTCCAATCTGGTATAAGTCGGATTCCCATACTTTCCACGTGTTTCTCAAACACTTTCTATGTTAGTGGATTTGTCAATGGGTCTACTAATTTTCCGTTGATGTTACCTTCTAAATTAGGACGTCCCCTCTTCCAACTATCTCGCGCAGTACATGATACTTCTCTCGATGTGCTTCGACTTTGAGTGGGCTCATGGCTCCTTAGCCTGAGCGATAGCTCCATTGTTGTCACACAACAACAGAATTGGTGATGTGCTGGATGGAACTACTCCCAATTCATGAATGAACTTCTTCATCAATACGGCTTATTTGACAACTACACTTGCGGTAATATATTCGGCTTCGATTGTGGAATCCATCGTTGGTCCCTGTTTGCTGCTTTTCCAACAAACAACACACGATCCTATCATGAAAACATACCCAGATGTAGACATTCTATCATCTGGATCTAACTGGAAGTTGGCATCAGTATACCCCTGGATCTGTAGTGAGCTACCATCAAATACCTTAACAGTAATCGTATTACCAAAAAGAATAGAATATCCATCCGCACACATTTTTGAAACAGAAATAAAATTTCTTCTCAAATTCTGTACATAAAGACAATCTTTTAATATAATAAATCCTTATCTGAAAAATAACTCTACGGTTCCTATAGCCGTAGTTGCAACACTTGCAGAAGTCCCCAAGTAAAGAGTTACTTCTCTGTCACTCTGTCTTCTACTTATCCTGAACCCCTGCAGTGAGTTACACGCATGACTCGAAGTCCCAGAGACAATACACCAGGAAGCAAAAGTTACCAAAAAATCGGTTTCTATGACACAGGATTCGAAATTACCTTGTTTCTTGGATTCCAGGTACTGAGGACAGTTCCTCTTCCAGTGGCCGGTCTGCTTGCAGAAGTGACTAGTATCTAATGCTTTGTCCTTCTTCTGCCTCTTAGACTTGGTAGCTTTCTTCTAGGGCTTTCTCTTGTTCTTCCTCTTATTCTTGCCCAATTTTCCAGCTTCAACAAGCATGGCTATGGGCTCATCCTTCTTGATCAGTTCTTCGGCCCTCTACAACATATTGCTGAGTTCCTGTATGCTGACCTTCAGCTTGTTCATGTTATAGTTCATGATGAACTGATTGAAGGAAGGAGGTAGAGAATTCAGGATGACGTTTACCTTTATGACATGATCAAGCCTGGATCCAAGAGCCTCAAGTTCATTAATGTAACCCATCATCCGAAGACAATGTTTATGAACCTGCTGGTTCTTAGACATCTGCGCGGTCATAAACTGTTTCAGGACCTTCTGACGAGTAGAACGATTCTGCTCCTCATACATCATCCTCAGACTATCCAATATGTCCTTGGACAATTCGATCTGATCAAACTGCCTCGGTATCGGATTATCCAAGGAGGCAATGATGTAGCAGCGCGCTAGAGAATTCTTCTCTTCCCATTCCTGGTAGTCCCTCCTTTGGGCCTCAGAAGCCCTATCACCCGGACGCTCCGGTGTAATTCTTAGCTACTTTGTCTAATTTTTTAGAGGTCAAGACCAGCATAAGATTATGGTACCAGTCAGCATATTTAGGGCCCTTTAGTTTGTTGTCATCCAATAGCTTAGCGAATTGTCTGTTTGCCATTTCTGATAAAAAGCAAACATTAGTCCACAACCTAATTTGATTCATATTATCTACATAGATATGGCTTTTAATCTATGTTCAATTTCCATTTGTTCATCTCTGAGATTTCCCTCCCATCGCAGTGACGGAAACAACGACTTATGTCTCTGGAAATGTGGGAAATCACATAGGGTGCATGGAGCCAACTGTTTCAGCTGCATAACCCCACCACCTTTCTGTGAAGGATCATATCCACTCATCGTATGAACTTTCCCTTTAGCTTCTGTCAGACAAGGTTCATTGCCATTTTGGGTTAACCTTTCTGTCCAGTGAGTGCTCACCTATCATATTCGTAACGCCAAAGTACCGTGAGAGAGTCTTCCATTTTAGGATAAGCCCCTCCCACATCGGTCTATGACGCCCCTATCATCTTATGAAACATTCCAACAGATCCAGCAGCAAATGGATAACCCAATTTTATGGTGCGTTTCCTCATTACTGAAGGACCCATCTTCATGCTAATGATAAAAGGCATTTAGAGAGTTCATCATATGAATCTCCCTATCACATGCACTCATATTTCATGAGGGAACAAAAGCTACGCCCTAGTTTAATTTAGGTCAAACCATTGTGACTCCCACTAACTTTCATAAAGCCAAATTTCGGTGGGCCCTAAACGGCTAGGGTTCCACACGGTTCCTCTTGGGGAGGTGTGGGGCCCACCACAAAGGGAGATCATCCAATGATTTTTAGGGACACTATGACAATGATGTGCATTCAGCCATGGTGTGCGCAAGAGCCACTGTTGTATCTGCATGGGCCAAGTACTTATGGCCTATGAACGTTGCACATCACACATCCATACATCACATGCAAGGATAAAATTGATCCAATCAATTAATATCTGTAAAGCCCATCATCAAAGCCCATAATGATCCATAATATTACTGATTAATATTATCTAGGTATATGGGCTGAATAGCAAAGAGCAGTTCGACCCATATAGCTTTTATGCAATTAGTGGGCTTAAGCAGTTTTAACACTTTAAAACTAGGCTTTACAGGTGTGGGCCGAATTAGGTCTTGCAATTAAATATCAATCTCTTGACCCAAGAGTGGGAAAATAGGGCTGAGAATAGCCCCTATCGAACCACAGATTCGGTCCAACTAGTTTGGTCCAATCTGGTTCGAATGGGTCTAGGGTTTGATTTTTAATTCAAGAATTAATTCAAGAATCGATCTGAAAATTAAATTACTGATTAAAGACAATCAAGAATCAGTACTAGGGCTGTTCGCACATCTGCTACCTACAAAACAGATGTTAGATTACAGTTTGTAGTTTCTCAAACTACAAATCGCAAATAGCGAAATCTCAATCTACGAAATCTCCTCCTTCTGCGCAATCAGCTTCGATCTTGAATAAAATAAAATAGAAAAACCCTAATTTTCTATTAATATTACATCATATCAAATTCCTATACATTCAGTCTAGAAAATAAAAAAAAATTAATTATAGACCACAATGTAAAATAACAGCAAATCGCAGTTTTCTTGCGCCAATCAAGAATGTGATCTCCACCGTGCAAACAACCCATAAATCAAGATAAATATAAAGAACAGTTCTAAACAAACATCAGATTTAAAAGATTTATTTTCAGATCATTCGCCCTTAATCTGGGAACCGATTTCCTAGAAAAACATTATCTGCACAAATCGGGTAGAACGCCTTCTGCCCATTTGCGCAGTTTCAGATCTGATCTATTTCGGTTCAAGATTTGAACCTGGCTCTGATACCACTGAAGGGATGAGAGATCCATCCATCATATGGATAGCCAAACCCTGCAGGTAGGTAGGGAAAAATATCAAAAATTTCTCTCTCTCCCATGT